AGAGAGAGAGAGAGAGAGAGAGAGAGAGAGAGAGAGAGAGAGAGAGAGAGAGAGAGAGAGAGAGAGAGAGAGAGAGAGAGGTGGGTATCGATGCCGGTGGCAGTCTGACTGTGTGCTTGCCTCGACGTGTGCGCTCGTTAGAAGCCGACCATCGGTTAGCAGCAAAATATTTTTTTTTTCTGAGTAAGAATCGTGTAGATGCTGCCGACGACGCGCTAGTTTTGACCGTTAATCACATGTGGCTAGAGGCTGCTATGTTTTTAATTCCTTTCTTTCCAAAACTTTTTCGGTTCAACTCTCTTCAGTCTTGCAATCGGTGTGATGCATCTGTCCTGTCTTGTTGAATGTCTACATATATTATGTGAAAGAGATGGAGACAGACGATCCCATGAATTTGTATTGGGTAAATTGCAGATACACCCCTTCAGAGAAGTATCGTAGCAAAACAATACCCGTATGCCCCTGTGTATTCTTTTTTTTTTTTTTTTTTTTTGTCCTTCTTTTTTTTAAGAAAGAGAAGATTAGCATGACCCTGCGCAAGTATGACACTCGTAAATCGAGAAATGGTCCATATGTTTCCCATGTTTGAAAAAAAAAAAACATAAATAAATAAATATATACAAAATTCGAAGCGGATTTACAGGTAGGTTCTTTTTTTGGCGGGAAATACACCGACGCTACCTCCTTACCTTTTTCAAAAGAGGGACCCGCCTGCCCTGGGGCGTGGTCCCACTAGCAAAGTGGATCCGATCGAATGCCTGAATCTGGACGAGTTTATGGAGATGTGCGGGAAATCGAGATTGAATTGCTTTTCTGCATCTCTCCTTAAAACGCATCCAGATTCAGGAGCTCGATTCTATCCTTTTTGCTAGTGGGACCTCGGCCCTGCAGTGCTTGCCTGAGGCCAGGCGGACGGGGTCACTGACACCTAAGACGGTACAATTTGGGCAGGTATAGTCGGTGTTTGGGCGTCGTGCTTCACTCATCCTCAGAGAAGTAAGCGGTAAGCAATAAGAAGTCGACACAGATAGGCAGGCCGCGGACGCAATCATGAGCAAGGAACATAACCGCCTTTCTTTTTTTTTTTTTAATACATAGTGTAAGGTGGCGGATGGATAGTCATAAAGAAAATGGAAAGATACAGGCGCCATTTGTTTTTTCAACTTTTGTCCTTAGCACATTTTTTCTGGTGATTGGGGGAGTGAGGCCGTTTATCTTTCTACTCTCATGTATGATCGCCGCTGCATCTGATAATGGAGGCACGGTTAGTGGGACCCTGATATCTCTGTGATGCAGATGCTGTGTGTATTATGTAGAGATGACGACAAGCATTTTTTTTATTTTTTATTTTTAGCGTGTCGCGTCTTACATATGAGACTGCAAAGACTACGGCTGGCGTGAGACCCTGAGTTCGAGTCCAGATGGAATCAGATGTAAAAAATCTAAATCGGATGTTACCAGGGACTGGTCAAGTCCATGATGATATGAATCTCAATGTCGTTTTCTTTCAAGAAAACAAAGGGGGAAAAAAAAAAAAAAAAAACAATCTTTCTTTCTTTCTTTCTTTCTTTCTTTCTCTCTTTCTCTCTTTCTTCTTCTTCTTCTTCTTCTTCTTCTTCTTCAAAGCCATTGCACGCTTTGCAAAGGGCACCAAGACATTCAAGGAGGCTTGGAAAAGGCTACTTGAGTGTCTGTTTTTTTTTTTTTTTTTTTTTTTTTTTTGTGTGTCTGGTATTTTGGAACGGTGATCAATCTCTATTCCATCTTCTTCGTGGACCCTTAAGTCTTACAGCCCTGCGTTACTGCCTTCGCTGCTGTCGAAGCCCTGTCCCTTCGAGGTAGCAAATAGTCGACAGCTTTGAGGTATGTAGTAGACCTAAAGAAAGCTGTTAGAAGGGATTCACTACTTCTGCCTGCGTGGCTGGTATGTATATTCTGCCCGTTCCTCGTTACTTTCGGCTTAAAGTTTCTGAAATTATTGTATTGTACTGCTCTTCATTTATCGGACTTAAATCTGACTAATATTGGATATTGTATTGCACTGCTCTTTATTTATCGGACTTAAATCCGACTAATATTGTATTGTACTGCTCTTTATTTATCGGACTTAAATCCGACTAATAGTGTATTGTACTGCTCTTTATTTATCGGACTTAAATCCGACTAATATTGTATTGTACTGCTCTTTACCGCGACTAATTAATCCCGATTTTACAAAAAGTCTGACACACACAGAGAAATTTTATTTAAATCCCGATTTACGGCTTACTAAATTGGGATTTAATTTCCGAAAATTTCTCTTTATTTACTAGGTTGTTAGAACTTAGAAGTTTAGTTCAATTTCTGTGTGTGTGTGTTGAGACTTTTTGTAAAATCGGATATTATTAGTGGAATGTAAAAAGCTTTTTTTTTCAAATTTATTTGCTGGTCACACGGGCTAGGGGCGAGATCCCACTGGCAAAGAGGGTTGTAGTAAGCGTCTGAATGTGGACGTGTTTGTGGCCAGGTGCGAGAATTTGTGATTGATTTTCCTTTCTGCACCTCTCTCTGGAACACGTCCAGATTCAGACACTTCTTCCATTCCTCTTTGCCAATGGGATCTGGCCCTAGGTATGCAGGACGGAAATCAATAGCCGAGGATTAATACGATTGACATAAACTTTAAGATGATTATTGGCTGGGGGTGTAGGGCGCAGTCAAGTTTTTTTTTTTTTTTTTTTTTTTTTTTTTTTTTTTGGAAACAGAAACAGTCAAGGTTTTCAGTTTTCCATGCGTTTCAGTCACGGTTTCCCGGATTTTGCTCGAAAGCGCGGAAAATAGTGAATGTATCCAACCCAGCTTTAGGGTTGGGTGGCGATGTGTTGTATTCCAGGGATGATGCCTGAAGTGGATTTAGAACTGAAAACGTGACTGCTGCGTAGTTACCCCTTGTTTTTTTTTGTTTTTTTTTTTCCGAGAACCCCTTGTTTTTTCCCTTTTTTTTTTTTTAGTTATGTCTATTCATAGATACAGAGGAGAGTGTGATCTACAGAACAGATCCTGAGTCCTGTTCAGATACAGTCGTGTGCCCTTTCTTTTATGCTCTGTGGGCAAGGGGGGAAGGGGGGAAGGGGGGAAGGGGGGAGGGGTAGGGGGGTAGGGGGGTAGGTGAGGAGAGGAGGGGGAGACATCTGACGGGCGTGTTTGACCTAGCTGCCCCACCTTGGAAGCGTTATAGAAGGGAGCAGTATGTGCAGCTTGTGACCTTTTCCTTTGTCTTTTTTCTTTTTCTTTTCGCCCATTGGGAGCTTGGTAATTAAAACAGAGCATTTTTAGAACAAAGAAAGGCTTTTGAACGTGGAGGGTGTGGTGGATCGTTGGTATCTTGGGAAATTGCAGAAATACCCCGTTTTTTAATGTTTCCAGGGAAGGGAAATATACGTTCACAACAAAGACAGAAGGGGAAAAGGGGTATTTTGGCAATTGGAAAGGGCATTTCTGCGATCAAATTAAATTGGGGGGTTATTATTGCTATCAAAAAGGGTGTTTCTTCCATGAAAGTTTGTCGTGAAGGTATGTTTGCCAGACAGCTGAGGCACGATTAAAAAACGTTTTTTTTTTCTTTAACGTGTATTTCAAAAAAATGAAAAAAAAAAAAAAAAAATCTCGGCAGCGACTTGTTCCGCTCTTTTTTTTTTCTTTCTTTTTGTGTGTGTGTGTTAACTTTGTAAATAGCAAGTTTTGTTTTTCTTTTCTTCTTCTTTTTCTTTTTTTTTGCTCGGACGCTGTTTTTTATAATTGATATATATATATATATAAACTGCCCCTGGTTTGTTGTCCTCTTCTCTCTCTCTGCCTACGGTTTACCGGGCAGTTCTGTTTGTGACGATATATATTATTATTATTATTACTAGTTTTTGACAACTTTGACTCCCCAAAGAGAGTGCTCCCACTAACTACAGTGTGTTCCCCCAAAAGAGAACAAAGCATTACCATTTCCGGAAGAGTCGGCAGAGCGACCACAAGGACTACAGGTTTTGATCCTAAAGACTGGACCACGGATAGTCCCTGGGTTCGGCGGGACTACAGGTTGATCTTCAAAGACTGGACCAGGTACAGACCCTGGGTTCCCTCTGAGAATGTATTCTGTCGGAGATGACGGCCACATTCTCTCGACAAAGTCTCAGAAATGAAAGTTAATGAGCATTGTCATCATTTACTGTCCTTGCTCGATGTACTCTCTCACCTGTGGCTAATTCTCTCTCCGCTTATGGTTGCTGGTTCTCTCCCCCTCCCCCTCCCCCTCCCCCTCCCCCTCCACCCCCACCGCCACCTCTCCCTCTTTCCCCGCTGCAGGCGAATTAAGGGCGGTCGGTTGATTTTAGATGCGGCCAAAATCAACTGCTGGGGGAAGGACAAAACAGCTATTCACTGCCAAGGAGGACAACAAGGATGAATAACACAAGGATGAAGAGATGTGCTCTGTGGGCTTGGCTGTGCGTTTTGATATTTTTCTCGAGTCATGGCGGACGCAGTGGTTATGGCACCAACACGAAGGAGGCAGCGGGATTCCATGGTGCCGTTTTGTTCGCTTCTGCCCAGGGTTCGAGTCCCAGCGCAGAGCCTTCGGCAGCGGTAGTCCCCCCGGTGCCCGCGAGCGAGACTGGTGGTCCTCCCCCCATTGTTGAGTCAGCGTCGCCTTCCGTCGCTGCTGGTGGTCCCATTCCGTCAGCGTCAACGACTCCTCCATCGCCATCCACCCCTCCAGCATCAACACCTCCACCATCGCCAACACCTCCAGCATCACTCCCATTGGCAACAACTCCGTCGACATCGAAAGGAGTCGGCGTGAATGTCGGATTCGGCTACAGCTCCACTCAGATTAATTCGAGCAAGATTGTGGAAATTGTAAAGAAGATCAAGGCGTCTTCGGTCAAATTGTTCGGCGATTTTGTGGATACTCCCGAAGCCGTGGCGCTCATCGACGCGCTGGCGGGGACGGGAATCGATGTCCTCATCCCAGTTGATATGAAGCAGATTGCTACGCTTGCCTCCGACTACAATGCATCTCGGGAGTTCGTGCAGACCAAGGTCAAATCCCGCCTCGATCAATCAGTCGCCATCTCCACCATCGCGGTGAGTTCCTCGGTCGTCGTCCTGTTGTCTGTCATCCTTCCTTCTCTCTCTCTCTCTCTCTCTCTCTCTCTCTCTCTCTCTCTCTCTCTCTCTCTCTCTCTCTCTCTCTCNTCTCTCTCTCTCTCTCTCTCTCTCTCTCTCTCTCTCTCTCTCTCTCTCTCTCCCCCGCGGGAGTTCGTGCAGACCAACGTCAAATCCCGCCTCGACCAATCAGTCGCCATGTCCACCATCGCGGTAAGTTCCTCGGTCGTCCTTTTGTCTGTCATCCTTCGTTCAAGTTCGTTGTTCTCTCTCCTGCCTCTCTCTTTTTTGCGTTCACACCCCTCCCCTCCTCCCCCTCCCCCTCCCCCGCCTGCCCTTCCCCTTCCCTCAACCCGATTTTGTTACTTGTCAAGTTGTTCTGAACTGAGAGGAGGTGTGTTCGAAAGCAACCTGCCCATTGCTTGTTACAATTCAGTTCTTCTTCTTGTCCTTTCGTCTTAGAATTATTTTGTTCCCTAGTACCCCCTCGATGTATCCGGACACTGCCAAAGTCCACATATGTCGTACCCCCTGGATGTATATGGACTTTCACAGAGTCCAGATACATAGAGGGGGTAGGGCGTTTTCAGAACGCTGTTCCATAAATTTCTCAAATTTTGGCCCCAGTTTGGATTTTCAATTTCGTTCAAAAAAGTGAAGGGGTAACTTCAGTAGAGTCGCAAACACGAGTTATAATTGCACTACTAGTATGGGGCAAGATACCGTTTGCAATAATTGCACTTCGGCCACCCTACTACCTGGCCAGAAAGCTGGGTTGTATACATTGCCCAAGCTGCAATTCGAAACTGTATCTTGGCCCATAGTGCAATTATAACTCGTTTTCTTACACTCCCGCGTAGTTTCCCCCAAAATTGAGGGGTATATGTCCGTTTTGATGAAATCGCTGTTTCAGGGCGTCCAACACTTGCGGGGGTTGGGGGCAAACGAGTACAAACCCTTTTGTCATGGGGGGAATCTATAACTTTTCCCAAGGGTAAACAGGATTGAGGAAGAGGGTAGTGTGGCATGTGTGACTCGTGTGGCAAGGGGCAAATTGCTCCAACTTCCAAGTTGTCAAATTCGGAGAGAACGCTTGAGATCTGTTTTTCCCAAAGATGCTCTGTCTTCATTTCACTTTTATTCTGAGCTTTCTGAGTGCCAATTCAAAAGGGTTGTTCTTTTTCAGCTTTTATCATCACTCCTATCTATTATTGCAAAGGCTGTGACAATTTGGGACAATGTGTGTAATATACATAATTATGCAGATTGGCAACGAAGTTCTTCTTCCGGAGCATGTGGGACATGTGGAACGTGGGAAAGTTGGCAGTAGGTGGGACATGACATGAGATCTGGTCATAGGTGTGACATTGTGTGTGACATTGTGTGACACTGTATGCATAACGCAGATTGGCAACGAAGTTCTTCTGCCAGAGCATGGCACTACATACTGGGCCACGGTCGTTCCTGCAATGGTGAATGTCCACAAAGCACTCCAGGAATTTGGTCTGGACCAGACCATCAAGGTTGTAACCCCCCTCAACTTCAATTGTCTTCGAGCGACGTACCCTCCAAGCGCAGGGGTATTTAACCAGTCGTACATCAATACAATAAAACCTTTGTTGCAGTTCCTGAATGAAACGGGCTCCCCCTTCATGGTGAACATATACCCCTTTTATCCGACAAGGGACCCCACTAACAAYWTTATGGTCGATTTTGYGCTGGGGGTCCCYGGCAGCARGATAGACACRGACCCGGKCASTRRCTTGAGTTACACAAACATGGTGGACATGATGATGGACGCTCTTGCCTTTGCGATAGAGAAGGAAGGCTTCTATGGGATGCCTTTGGCTATTGGGGAAGTGGGATGGCCCACTGGTGGGCACCCCATTGCGACAGTCGCGAATGGAGAGAAGTTCAACAACTACCTTGTCGGGCAACTGATGAGCAAGAAGGGTACTCCGAAGCGCCCGGGCGATGACGGGTGGATGCAGGTTTACCTGTTCGAGTTGCTGGATGAAGACCTAAAGCCATACACAGATGGCAATGGAATCTTTGAGCGGGAATGGGGAATCTACTATCTGAATGGAACAGCCAAATACTCAATCGACTTGACTCAAGGATGGAATACTACTACAACTGTGCCTCCTGCCAGTGTTTCCGCTCCTGCGGTATCTCCCAATTGTGAGCCTGGTGATAGGGGGGGTAAGGCACAGAGTCCAAATCAAACCCTTGCTCTAACTGGAGGGCCGAACACGTACTGTGTTGTCAACGACTGTGCTAGCGATGTCTCCATACAGCAAGCCATTGACTGGTTGTGCGGGACCGCGAATGTGACTTGCAGTGCCACACTAGAAGGTGGAGTATGCTTTACTCCAAACACTGCCGTAAGCCATGGCTCCTATTTGTTTAATACTTATTATGCCAGTCAGGGAAGGAAGCCTAGTGCATGCGCCTTCGAAGGCAAGGGAATGATTGTGGGGGTAAACCCATCTTATGGGTCCTGTACTTACTCATGAAGCTCCTTGCCTGCATGCACCGAATGCCACAAATGGCATGTGCTTCCAACATGACGTGTTCCAATTCAGCTCAACTGGGTCTCCAAGTATCTTATTACTAGGAACCATTTGGCTAATGTACGGGGTAAGGT